CACTCACACACTCCCTCACACACACACACACACACTCTCTCACACTCACACAGACACACACACACACACTCTCACACTCACACTCACGCACACACTCACACAGACACACTCACACTCACGCACACTCTCTCACACTCACACGCACACACACACACTCACACAGACACACACACACAGAGAGAGAGAGGAAAGCAAGCTGATTGTTTCCAGACTGTGGTTTGTGTGCCAGTGAAACCACACTGTGTGCTGCTTGTGTATCATAAACTCTTTTTCTTATTAACCCATAATGACTCCAGCACACGGTGACCTCTGACCCCAAGTGTGTTTCTGACATGCACCGTACAGTATTTGACAAATGACTGCAGAAACAGAAGAAGCTGTGAAATACTGTAAATCACTGTAACGTTACACTGATCGTAATGTGACTGTGTGTGTGTGTGTGTGTGTGTGTGTGTGTGTGTGTGTGTGTGTGTGTGTGTGAGAGAGAGAGTGTTTAGGTGACCAACAGGCTTCCATTGTAATTAGCAATTGGGTAAATGCATGAGTCTGGTCTAGATTACAGGCTCACACACACACACACACTGTGTGGTGAAACATCTGGAGAGTCAGGGTGTGTGTGTGAGTTCCCACAGAGCAGCAAATAAACTACAAGCCAGAAAAATAAAAAAAAAGTGTTTTCATTTCTTTGGCTTGAGGTGAGCTGCTCATTACATCATCATCATCATCATCATCATCATCACCATCATCAGCACCGGAGGCCCTGACACACGGTCGCCGTGATTTTGGCAAGTAAGACATGTTCCTGGATCAACATTACAGTCCAAAAATACAGACGTAACCCAATCCCCACCCCTAAACCTAACCTTACTCATAATTTATTCCTGAAGTCAGTGTGAAATGATAGCTGATTAACAAGGGTGTGGATTGCCTCATCCTGATTGTAAGCCTAAAACAGACATTTCCTGAAGAGTTATCTCTCAATTCTGATTGGTTGATTGGAATGATGTTCCAGAATGTTGATCCAGGAACATGTTGTACTTGGTCAAATCACGTTCACCCCTGACACACACACACACACACGCTGTACACTACTACTAATACTAATACTAATACACTAATACTACTGTCAGACTACATTGTGCTAACTATAAAGGCGGGATAATGGTATGGGACTGTTGTGATGGGTCACTTGCTTTCAGTAAATGGAAATATTAATGCTTCAGCATATCAAGACATGTTGGACAATGCTGTGCTTCCAGCTTTGTGGGATCAGTTTGAAGAAGACCCTATTTTATTCCAGCATGACTGTGACACAGTGCACAAGACAAGGTCCATAAAGATCAGTTTGGTGAGGAAGAACACAGAGCCTTGAACTCAACCCCATCCAATATCTCTCCTGGGGAGAGAAGTTGTCCCAACATGTCTTTGTTAATGTCTCAAGGAGCCCGACCCACTCTTGGGGCTTTGCTCCTATTAACAAGATCCCCATAGGACCAAAGATTCAGGTTTAATAACTAAAACACGTGATAAGGACTGCTTTTTGAACTTTTGGCAGACTGTGAAGATCTTGTATTCAATCGGTCCAGGAATAGAAGTCATCAGATAACGGAGGAAGCTTGATTATCTGAGTGAATGAGACAGAAGAGAAAATACACACAAATCAAAATCCTAACGCTGATAAACAACGATGTCCTTCCTGAAAGAGATCGGCCTGTTGGTGAAGAACCATTATAAAGCGGAGAGTTCCGGTGCTTGACTCTGATTGGCTGAGCCGCGTTCGAAGCTGTTGTGAATGACGCTACAAAGTAACACACAGCTTTGTTTATGTTTGTGTGTTGCTCGGCAACCACTTTGTAGCAACCACAACTGTTTCTGAGGAGCTACATTGTTTGGTGGAAGAATACTGTGTTTATTAATATCATTACACTTTATTTGCTCTGCTTTATTTTGTGAAACCTTACTACGTATATGGAATAACCGTTTTATAAAAGCAGTAACCCCCGTGAAGCCGTGGTTTACAGTGGATTTATAACAGCTAAGAGGGTTTTGGATAGATGGATGGAACATGGATAGATTGTGTGACATGCCCTCCTTTCTGAAAAACTTTTGTTCACTTTTGTATTATATTGGAATTAGATAACCAGCTGACTCTTATCCTGAATCTTAACTATTAACTATAACGAGCTGCTTGATTAGTCTTCTGGAGATCTGCACAGAGGAGGAATAAAACCCATCACCTTTGTTCATCAAGTGGGTAGAAGCTTTATTTGTATCAGCCAGAGAACAGAAATAACACATCGAAATTACTGATCATGATTAATAATAATAATATTAATACTAAACTAAATGAGTGATTTCCATCAACACAAACAGAGGAAAGCACAGAAACACTCAGCAGGACTCACACACACTGATCTTACGGTCTATATGAGGATTTATTACACATTTATTCTGACTTATTTCAGTGACAGAAGTTCAGCTGCAGTATTAATGTCATGAAGAGACTCTATAACATCTCACTGTTACTGATGCAGCTCAAAGCATTATGGGTAGAATCTCTCGTCAGTCTATTCAGATTCATCAACACAGTTTCACTGATGATCCAACATTAAAATTCAAAAACAATCCAGACCCAAACCCAAACCCAGGATAGAGCGGCTGAGTGAATGTGGTCTGGACTGTGTGGATGAGGCTCATTGTGTTTCTGGAGACGCTGTAGAAGGACAGAGTTCCTGCACTGTGATCCACAAACACTCCTATTCTGCTGCTGATGGACTTCACAGAGAGAGCAGTCTGTATGTTATTGTGTATGAATGAGTAACTGGAGGAAGAGCAGATCAAACTCCAGGACTGATCATTACGTCCAAACACATACTCATTACCTCCTCCCTTCCTGCTGATGCTCTTATATGACACTGATATATCCACCCGTCCTCTCCACTCCAGCTCCCAGTAACAGCGTCCACACACACTCTCTCTACACAACACCTGAAGATAATAATCAAATCTGTCTGGATGATCAGGATACGACTGGATTGTTTTAGCGTATGTAATCACTCTGTTTCTCATATTCATTACATCACATTAGAGCTACAGATTCTAGTATTTGACACTTACACTATATGTGAACTTTCTAGGACACAGTTTGGATGATAAAACATCTGCTGAGAACATAAATGTCCATCTAACAGCTCAAGCACATCAATGGAGTCTCATTATAGAGTTGAGTAGATTTGCTCAGGAAAAGCAGCTCGAAGGCTACGATTAGATTGAGCATTATGGGAACACTTTACAATACTGCTGCACTAATATGCATTAATTCATTCTTAACTAACGCACAGATAACCATGAGTTAATGCACAATTTCTTAAGAACTAAATCATTCATTAATGATTTCTACATCAGCAACTAATAAAGAGTCTATCTGATTAATAGATTAAGTAATAGATCAATTGCTATTAATTTTAAAGTGTCAACCTGTATTAAATCCTTAATAACATATAGTATTAACTACTAGTGTAATTTAATATGTTACTTACCACAAAGCTATGCATTTCAACTTACTGTTATTGCTTTAATTAATCATTAGCTAATGATTTGCAAAGATATGACTTTACTTGTTGAGGCACATATATTAACTCATTGTTCAGTATGTGTCATTATGGTTAGGGGTTTTGCTATCCCCAGCAAAGTTTGAGGTCTGTGGGACTGTTTGGACAGTTGCACAGTGAATGTAATGTCAGAGAAGCAGTGGGACGCCTACAAGTGATTAAAAGAGAAAGAAGTGTTCTGACATGAGGCCCATTTGAGCAAGATTTCCAGAGCTGAAAGACATTCATTTCTTTCAGAAGAAGACGATCTTAAAACACTCATGAAATGTTTCTCTGTGAGTCTCTGTCACAGCAGGATCTGCTCAAGTCCACTATGATCCTGTTCTTCTAGATCTGTGCTACCTGCAGAAACTGGATGTGATCCTGTGTGTGCTCCAGCTGCTCCAGCTCAGCGTCTCTCCTCCTCAGATCATTGATCTCCTGCTCCAGTCGCTCCAGTCGTCCTTCAGCTCGACTCACTGCAGTCTTCTCCTGATCTCTGATCAGCTGTATCAGCTCAGAGCGGCTTCTCTCAATGGAGCGGATGAGCTCAGTAAAGATCCTCTCACTGTCCTCCACTGCTGTCTGTGCAGAGCGCTGTTAGGACACACAGTGATTCAGGCTTCAGTGAGTCTGAACTGAGACGGAGACAAACTTCTCTTCTTCTCCAGACTCACCTTATGAGACTCCACAGCCTCTCTCAGCTGCTGAAGATCTTTCTCTCTCTGCTGGATTCTCTGCTGGAACGTCTTCTGCGTCTCCTTCAGCTGCTTCTGCAGGACAAACAGATGATAGTGAACGTCACAGAAAACTACTAGCACTAAATCATCATGTGAACAGATGAATCCAGGAAACATGGAGCTGATAACTAATGACTGTAGGTTCAATCTCCAGAAGGGACAATTGATCATTTACCACCATCGTACATTAATTAAAGGGGTGCTATTATGCTTTTTTTTATTACAACTTTAGTTAGTCTGTAATGTTGCTGTTTGAGCATAAAAAAGAGCAGCAAAGTTACAAAGCTCAAAGTCCAATTCAAAAGGAGATCTTTTATTTAACAGAAATCACTTTTCAAAAACTACAACGAACGACTCGTTTGGACTACAACGCATATTTTCCGGGATTTGTGATATCACAAATATCGACGAATGGGACGAGACCTGGTTGAGCTGCACTAGAGAAGGCAACGAGTGTTATCACAACTTAGAGTGATTACAATCATCCAGGTTTAAATTGCGCTCAAATTGATTTGATTTTGACACAATATTTACACTGAAGCTCGCAGGCGGCTATGGTAAGGGGCATGACATTTCCCGACCAGCCGCCGAATGCTGCCAATCACAGCACACACCGGCCCAGCTAACCAATCACAACACATTTCGTCTTTCAGAAGGCGGGCCTTCATTTGATTCAGGAACTATTCGAGCCGTTCAGGCCAGACTGGGGAGAGAGGTGCTGTAATAATGTAAAATATGTGAACAAATATTGTGTTTTTCGAACAACCTAGTATGAGAGCCTGTTCTAGTGCACCCCCAAAACAAAATCAAGACTTTGTAAAAGAGCATAATAGGACCCCTTTAAGGCCTGTTTCAAACTACAAGTTTAAGTACTATAAAACTGAAACAGACACAGACATAGAGCTTCACACTGACAGTGTTTCTGTGTAATTAAAATGTGGCCAGACAGGAAAATAAATGAACAAAGTGAAGCTATAAATGACTGAAATCATCTGGATTCAGTCAGATTTACTGAACAGAAAGTCGTCTGTCACTGCATTTATATTGTATTTTGACTGATGAAAGTATGTATTTTGTCAAAGAACGGGTGAACAGTTCACTCCTGTCACAACGCTGTGTTGTTAGTACACATGAACACGATGATGAAGGTTACAGGCAATCTTTAATAAATCCACACGCAAGATATACAAACAGAGAGAACTGCTACAACACATCTAATCACGGAAGAGACCCGACAGTTATGAACGGAAACAAAATAAAGTACTAAATCAAACGAGGCTAATAAACCATACACACCTGAACTAAATGATGAAATAAATCACTAAGCATGACAATGAAAATGGTGCAGACAGAAAACAAAGTACAAACTCTGAATGTGTGACAACTCCATTATTTTATGTTGCTTAATCAAAGCCTATTTTATGAAGGATTGTGCTGATAAAGGTTTACAGTGCTTTTTCAGCAAACTCTTCTTGCTGCTGCTCTTCATTTCTGCTGTCGTGTGAATGCTGTGAGCTGTTCATATGGTGCTGATATAAACACATATGAAACGAGTGTCAGCAATACTTCATCAGTGTCTAGTGTTAAATACCTGCTTCTCTGTCCTCTGTGCTGCAGCTGATACAGTGTCGTGGTTTTTATGTTCATCCATACACAGCACACATATACATTTCTGGTCAGTGCGACAGAAAACCTCGAGGAGCTTCTCATGTTTCTGGCAGATCATCTCCTGCAGTTGTCCAGTGGCATCAGTCAGATTGTGTTTCTTTCCTTTAAACCAACTCTCATGTTGTTCGAGGTGATTCTGACAGTAAGAGTTCAGACACACCAGACAGGACTTGACAGCTCTGTATTTTCTTCCAGTACAGACGTCACACTGCACATCTCCAGCTCCAGCGTCACAGTCAGCAGAGAGTTTGGTCTTCTTCAGTTTCTCCACCACTTCAGCCAGCATGGTGTTTCTAGCTAAAGCAGGTCTTGGACTGAAGGTCTGTCTGCACTGAGGGCAGCTGTAGACTCTCTTCTCATCCTCCTGATCCCAGCAGCCTGTAATACAGCTCTTACAGTAACTGTGTCCACAGGGAATGGCCACTGGATCCTTCAGGAGATCCAGACACACGGCACACATGAACTCCTTCTGATCTACCGAAATTCTGGTTTCTGCCATTTTACTGCATGAACACAGAGACACAAACAGACAACAGCTCAACTACACTTCTACAGTTTCTCTTTCCCTGAACTCACGTGATTCCTGTTTCCTGCTTCTGTGTTTGAGTGACGTGTGTAAAACAGGTTTGTCTGTGAGTCTGTAAAGCAGCTTCCTCATTCCTGCTGAGTTTAGTTTCGACACACCTGGCTGTTATTAAAGTAAACACAAAGACCTTTACTAGTTGAATCAGGTGCGTTTAATTAGAGATCAAACTAAACTCTGTGGGAAAGTGACTCTCCTGGACGAGGAATGGGGAACCCTGATGATGAAATGTCTTCTAGATGTCAGACAAACACTCAAGAGAATTCAAGAGAAGCAGGACAACAGCCTTAACCTTCTTGGCAGTCAAAGTCTCATCCCTGGAGTCCGCCTCCTTTTTGGTAGCTGGACAACCGCCAGAACCATTCAAGTCAAGTCACCTTTATCTGTACAGAGCTTTATACAGTACTGATTGTGTCAAAGCAGCTTTACTGTGTCAAACAGGGAAATAGTTTGTCAATAATGCAACAAGACAATAACAGGGTCATTTTTCAAGTCAGTTCATTGATGATTCAGTGATTCATCATCCAGTTCAGCTCTCTTCAAGAGTGTCTGTGCAATCAGTCAAGCGTCCCCAACTAAACAAGCCAAAGGAACCAAAACTCCATCGGTGACAGAAATGGAGAAAAACCTTGGGAGAAACCAGGCTCAGTCGGGGGCCAGTTCTCCTCTGGCCAGACCAAACCAGCATGGTGTGGTTTAATTCCAGGCTGCAGCACAGGTCAGATTGTGCGGAGGACTCGTCTGGTTCCTGTGGTCTCGTGCCGATGGTCGTCGAGGTGATGAGGTCTTCGCAGGGGATCTGTCGTCTAGCTGACATGGTCTCCGCTGACATGGTCTCCGCTGACATTCAGGGCTGTAGAGGTCGTCTCTAGCTGCTGATCCACCATCTGATCTGGATACAGTCTGGATCCGTATGTTTATGTTTAACACAGTTGGATCTCTAAACTGCCCCATTAGTAGTATACAGCTGTCAAAATATTTTTTAACAATTACAAAATGATAAAACAAAGCATATTTTGTTATATTTTGACATTTTAGTTATAAAAAAGATGCAAATAAATATACACAATGTTAAAATTAATAATTCAGACACTGAAATTATCAAAGAACTGTAATACTCACCATCAAGTCAAATTAGACAAATAATTTTGATCTAGTACTGTCTGTATATTTACCTCTAATTCATTGAATTTTATAGGCTCAGTGAGAACAGTAGTCGCAAATGACAGTAGCCCCTTTCACACTGTGTGTTGATTAAATTAAATAGAAATGGCCAGAGTGCCTTCTGTGTGAACGCAAGCACGTCCCGGGATGGGGACCTAATAACATTGCAACAAAAGGAAGGACCAATCCTGGAAAGGTTGTGTCGAAGTGATGACGTAGTTGACACTTTGAGCAGGTGATTTAAATGCAGAGATCAACGCTCACATAAAAAAGAAAATAAATAAAAATGTCTGCAAACTGGACTGAAGCAGAGACCAGGGAGCTCCTCAGTATCCACGCTGAAGCTGCGTTCAAAATGCAGGAGTGTGGTTTCTCTCTCGAAATCGTAGATCATAAGTGCACGATTACAATTGAAAGAGAGGCAGCGGGCTAGCGTTTTTGACTCGTACATTACACGTCACATCCCGATGTCACATGTCTTTACAGGATATGTGTGAACGCACGCACAGATTCCTATTTAATCACTGGCAGTGTGAATGAACCAAAATCAAATGATCCCGGGACAAATCCTGGGACACATTACCCGTGTATTTTCCGTGTATTTTAAGACTCTCTTGTGGTCATTGCAGCATGGCTGACCACACTCACAGCAGCGGTCCACCGTTTTGCAATCGAATGATGATGGGCAAATGTGACACCTTCTGCACTTTCTGGCACCTATTTCTTTGGTGGGGTTGTTTCACAAAACCACAGCGTTTCAGTGCGCATTGGGATGCTCGGGGAAGTCTTGGTACCAGCGCTCTTTCTTGCAACCATGGTCTCAGTAGCTGAAAGCCAAGGATCTTGAGGAAAATGCAACGATTTGTTCTCCTCTGTACACTGTATTTGTGGCACAGTTGGTCCATGTGGTCCACAGCACCCTTCATTTTGTTATAGTCTAGAATGATCACAGGCTTCCCAGACACCTCCTCAACCTCTTTTTGGTCGTGCATACTGGATAAAAGCACAACAGCCTTGTTCTTTTTTGGCACATAGGACACTATGGCTTACTTTTGGCAAAAACCGAACAGTCTTGATCTCACAGGTCTCCTCTTACAGACATGAAACGCAGGCAGAACTTCTGGTAATGTGTTTGCCGAGCAAATCAGCAGCGAGTTTTGCACTTGTAAACCAGTTATCAGTTGTGACATGTACTCCAGAGTTCTGAACTGGATCTACCAGTTTCTTTACTACACTCTCTGCCAATCCTGTGCACCGCTGATCGCCTTCACAGCCAGTGTATGGTAGACCATTGAAAGTGTATGCTGTAGCAACATCACACATTAGAAACAGTTTCATGCCGTATTTGTCAGGTTTTTGGGCATGTATTGCCGGAAGTTGCAAAGTCCTCTGAATGGGATGAGCTGCTCATCAATTGTCACATACGGGCCAACATTGTAATTTTCCCTCCAATTTTCAATGAAGCCATTCCAGAGTGATCTAAATGGAGCAAATTTGTCATTGATTTTTCTCGCCTGACATGTGCCACGCTCATCAAATCTCATAAATGACACGATCTAATCAAACCTACTGATGCTGAATGCAGCTTTGAATATTGGTTTATACAGTTTCTTCAGCTCGTTTCCATGTGCTAGGATCTCTGCCTTTAGACACCATATACATTCTTGCATACTGGCTAGTATTTTCAGTCACCTTGTGCAGATTATCATCATCAATGAAACATGAGAATGCATCACTTTCAGTCAGAACCAGTTTTGCTTTGCTGCAAGGCCCGTGTCTGGCTCATATTCAGGATCTGATACTTTCAAAACTAGCGTTTTCTTCATCTTCAGAATCAATTTGTTCCCTCACAGCTTCGTCATCCAATCCACCATCGAGCAAGGCTAATATCTGATTATGTACTTGTTCAGCTGTAAGTCACTGAGCCATGACAACTTATGTCTGAGGTAAATTTGATTGATGCCTCATATCATTGTTTGACAAACATCTAGTGGAATAAAGGTGAATCAGTCGTGGACAAAAGTTTTGGCGGTGACATAAATTTTGTGTTTTGCAAAGTTTGCTGCTTCAGTATTTGTAGATTATTTTTCCACATGTTTCTATGGTATACTGAAAAACAATGATAAGCATATCATAAGTTTTAAAGACTTTAATTGGCAAAAAATATAATGAGTCTATATTTACAGTGTTGACCCTTGAGTCTGCAATTCGCTCTGGCATGCTGGATATTAGCTTCTGGGCCAAATCCTGACTGATGGCGATCCATTCTTGCCTTATTAGTTCTCGGAGTTGATCACAATTTGTGGGCTTCTGCTTGTCCACTCGCCTTTTGAGGACTGACCACAGGTTCTCTATGGGATTGAGATTTCTGTAGCTGACTCCTCAGGAGGAGACGGTCCTGTTCTGTAGCTAACTCCTCAGGAGGAGACTATTCTGTTCTGTAACTGACTCCTCAGGAGGAGACGATTCTGTTCTGTAGCTGAGTGCTCAGGAGGAGACGTCCTGTTCTGTAGCTGACTCTTCAGGAGGAGACGGTCCTGTTCCGTAGCTGACTCCTCAGGAGGAGACGGTCCTGTTCCGTAGCTGACTCCTCAGGAGGAGACGGTCCTGTTCCGTAGCTGACTCCTCAGGAGGAGACGGTCCTGTTCCGTAGCTGACTCCTCAGGAGGAGACGGTCCTGTTCCGTAGCTGACTCCTCAGGAGGAGACGGTCCTGTTCCGTAGCTGACTCCTCAGGAGGAGACGGTCCTGTTCCGTAGCTGACTCCTCAGGAGGAGACGGTCCTGTTCCGTAGCTGACTCCTCAGGAGGAGACGGTCCTGTTCCGTAGCTGACTCCTCAGGAGGAGACGGTCCTGTTCCGTAGCTGACTCCTCAGGAGGAGACGGTCCTGTTCCGTAGCTGACTCCTCAGGAGGAGACGGTCCTGTTCCGTAGCTGACTCCTCAGGAGGAGACGGTCCTGTTCCGTAGCTGACTCCTCAGGAGGAGACGGTCCTGTTCTGTAGCTAACTCCTCAGGAGGAGACTATTCTGTTCTGTAACTGACTCCTCAGGAGGAGACGATTCTGTTCTGTAGCTGAGTGCTCAGGAGGAGACGTCCTGTTCTGTAGCTGACTCTTCAGGAGGAGACGGTCCTGTTCCTTAGCTGACTCTTCAGGAGGAGACAGTCCTGTTCCGTAGCTGACTCTTCAGGAGGAGACGGTCCTGTTCCGTAGC